TATATATATATATATATATATATACTTTATATATTGAGGCGGAATAAGTCCCTAGGGTTTAGGGTTTAGGGTTTAGGGTTTATCATCTTTAAGAGAGCGGAAGAAATCCTTTGCCTTATAACGTATAAGAGTATAAGAGGTCCTCAATAAGGGTTTAGGGTTTAGGGTTTCCTCCTCCTCCTCCTCCTCCTCCTTCTTCCTTAAGTATAAGAGGTCCTCAATAAGGGTTTAGGGTTTAGGGTTTCCTCCTCCTCCTCCTCCTCCTCCTCCTCCTCCTTCTTCTTCTTCCTTAAGAGAAAGGAAGAAATCCCTCGCCTTATAAGACGACCCCAAAACCATCCTAGGGTTTAGGGTTTAGGGTTTAGGGTTTACTTGTTGATTAGGGTTTGTTTGTTGATTAGGGTTTGTTTGTTGATTAGGGTTTAGTGTTTGTGGTTCTTGTTCGTTAAGAGAAAGGAAGAAATCCCTTGCCTTATAACTACTACGAATAAGAGGTCCAGATGCACAAACCCTAAACCCTAATTGTATAGCAATTTGTTTATATATATTAAATAAATTAGGGTTTATATATTGAATAACCCCTAGATTATTTGCTGAGGGTTTAAGGTATTGACCTAATGTAATAAAATCAACATTTCCTTCTTTTTTTATTTCCCTAAGAGTGTTAATAATTTCTTTATTTGTTTCCCCTAACCCTAGCATAAGAGAGGTCTTTGTATAAACCCTAAACCCTTTTTTTATCTCTTTTGCTCTCCTTAATACCCTTATTGATCTATCATAACTTGCCCTCTTATCCCTAACAAAAGGAGATAATCTACGAACTGTCTCTACGTTATGTGCAAATACATTCAATCCGCTATTCACAACCATAGATATTGCCTATATATATATACACACACAAACCCTAAACCCTAAACCCTAAACCCTAAACCCTAAACCCTAAACCCTAAAAATTTTTCATTTTTTTTTTTATGGATAATATGGGGATATTTAGATGAGGAAGGAAGGAAGGAAAAACAATACATAATAAACACTAATAACAATAAACCCTAATATACATAAACAATATATGCACAATATAATAAACCCTAAACCCTAATATTATGCATATATAAACCCTATAATAAATAAACACACTTAGTGCTATATATTAGATGTTAAACACTAAACCCTAAACCCTAAACCCTAAACAGTAAACGCGTACAACACAACAAACAACAACGCGCAATAACTGTTACAAAGTCATGCAACCATCATCATACACTCTATGAATTAGGGTTTAGGGTTTAGGGTTTAGGGTTTAGGGTTTACGGATTCCATTTCTTGGAAGTCAGGAACAAGACACTCAATTAATATATTAGGCTTTTTTTCTTTTATTAATTGGACTGTCTTAGCAAAATGAGCAGCGCCACCATCAGGTAAATCGTCCCTAAACACCAAACCCTAAACCCTAAACCCTAAACCCTAAACCCTAAACCCTAGAAGCGGCTTACGCCTGGAACGAAGGATGAGGGAGAAGGGGAAATGTGAGAGATTGAGAGGGTTTACTGTACGCCTATCCAAAAAAAGTAGTGAGTCTATGTGTCTCTCTGTTGTTGAAACCTAGGGTTTAGGGTTTAGGGTTTAGGGTTTAGGGTTTACCTGTCTACACTAGTAAGTACAACATAATCTATATCCCATTGAGCAACAGCATCAGCAACCTTCTGTGGCTCCAAAGGGTCTGGCGGTGGGGGTTTAGAGGAAGTCTTTATAGCACAAAATCTGATTACAAACCCTAAACCCTACAAACCCTAAACCCTAAACCCTAAACCCTGGAGAAACCCTAAACCCTAGAATTCCAAGAGCGAGGACTACACAGCCCACACACACCAACTCCAAATAAACCCTAAACCCTAAACAACCACCGCTGAGTTCTTCTGCTAAAGGAAAAGGGAGTGCGCTGTTGAAACACATCGTGATTAGGGTTTAGGGTTTAGGGTTTAGGGTTTGGAGTGTACCGGCAGCCTCTAGTACACGTATCCCCTAATAACATTAACGTCGCTGTTCCTCCTTCCCAACATTCTCCAATATTAGGACATTTTGCTTCTTCACATACCTAAATACAAACCCTAAACCCTAAACCCTACAAACCCTAAACCCTAAACCCTAATTCCCTGTATTACAAGCATAGCATTCACCAAAAGGGTTTGTTCCCCTACCCAGCTCTCTCTCTCCTCCTCTGCATTCCTCTGAATAAAATATCCCCCTCTCTATTTATCTCTCTCTCTCTCTATTATTTAGAGTTTAAAAATTAGGGTTTAGGGTTTAGGGTTTAGGGTTTAGGGTTTAGGGTTTAGGGTTTACGGTATGTAGATTTAATCCACGTATTTGTTTGGTTAATTTAGCAAAATTAGAATTTTCTCCTTTAGGTGCAGGGACATGAAACCAATTAGGTCTTTTTCCTGCTGTTGATGGTCCTACACGAGGTATTTGCGGTGTATCTTTACCTCCTGCTGCTGCTTCTGCTGCTGCTGCTGCAGCAGCAGCAGCAAGTAATCCTGCTGATTCTCCTGATTCTTCTGATAGTTTCAACAAGTCCTCATCTGTCATGCTGCTGCTGCTGCTGCTGTTGCTGCTGTTGCTGCTGCTGCTGCTGCTGCTTAGAGAACTTATGTCTCCACCGGAGAAGCAGCAATTGCCAAACAGACGAGTTGCTCTTGTTGCTGCTGTTCTTGCTGCTGCTGCTGCTGCTGCTGCTGCTGTGTCTTGCTGCTGACCAATACGTTGCTCAACCCCACTGGTGCTCCTCAGCAACGATGGTGGGGAAGTGACGAATGCAGCAACCTGCTGCTGCCGTGGTCCACCTGCTGCTGTTGCTGCTGCGTCTGCTGCTGCTGCTGCATCCGCTGCTGCTGTGGTTGCTGCTGCTGCTGCAGGCTTTGTGGGCACCACCTGGGAAGAGGGGCCCCACACAGAAGGAGGAGAGATCTGCTGCAGTGATGTAGCATCCACGTAGGAGTGCAGCAGCTGCAGCAGCAGCAGCAGCAGCAGCAGCAGCAAGTGAGGGGCCCCCCGCTGCATGTGTCTTCCACCGTGTGTTGCTGCAGCGAGACAAGATGTGTGTGTGCTGCAGCAGGAGGTGCCTATACACCTGAGATAGTATGACCCATTGCTGCCGTATCTAGTGTTGCTGCTGCTGCTGTTGCTGCTACTGCAGCGAGGAGACAGGTGGGCAGCGACCATTCTAGTAGAACGACCCCGCTGCTGCTGCTGCTGCTGCTGCTGCTGCAGCTGGCGAAGACACCGCGGTGTTGAGGTGTCTATACATCCCCATACACCTCAATATCTTCTTTTTCTTCTTCTTTAACAAATATAATTGAATAGAGGAGGAAGCGGCAGCAGCAGCAGCAGCAGGCGTAGCAGCAGCAGCAGCAGCAGCACCAGCTGCAGCAGCACCGGCAGCTGCAGCTGCAGCAGCTAGGATCGGTCGGTCACTCACTCGACGGCTGTTGTGCTGCAGCGTGTGCCGGCGATGCAGGCTCTCTTGCTGCTGCTGCTGCTGCTGCTGCTGTTCTTTCTTCTTTATTGCATTAAATTATTTTTATTATAATAAACAAAGACATAAAACAGACAATCTTGTTTACGGGGCCTCGTGGGGTGTATACCCACCTCGTATATTATCGTGGGCGCAGCAGCAGCAACAGCAGCAGCAGGAGCAGCAGGAGCGGCAGCAGCAACAGCAGCAGCAGCTGCAGCAGCAGCTGCAGCAGCAGCACAAGAATATTCTCGCTCTTTTTGTATGGAATCCGTTGCCCTCTTGGGCTAACTCTAGCTCTTGCAGCAGCAGCTGCTGCAGCAGGTCAACTGCAGCAGCAGCAACTGCAGCAGGCCGCTCGCAGCAGCAACAGCAACACAACACAAGTTGCGACTTCTAGGCGGAGCAAGACTACAGCAGCAGCACAATCGGCAGCAGCAAGAGCAGCAGCAACAACAACAGCAGGATCGACACCTGCTGCAGCAGGAGCAGCAGCTGCAGCAGGAGCAGCAACTGCTGCAGCACGTGCAGCAGCACGACAACAGCAGCAACAGGAGCTGGAAGAGCAGCAAAATGCTCCCAGTGCCTCGTCGTTGGTTGCTGTTGGGCTTGGTGCTGCTGCTGTTGCTGCATTTGCTGCAGCAGCAACCTGCAGCAGCAGCAGAAGGAGAGGAGGAGGAAGAGGATCATGAAGGAGACATCCCTTTTATAGGAGAAGATTGGGCAGCAGCAACACCAACAGCAGCAGCAGCAGCAGCACAAGCATCCCTAGCATCAAGCCGTCTGCGTTCTCCTCCCCCAACAGCAACAGGAGCAGCAGCAGCAACAGGAGCAGCAGCAGCAGCAGCATCTTCTCTTCCTACTAGCCGGATAAGCAGTGCCAATTCAACCCAAGAGGGTTTACCATTACGTCCCCAAATAGACAGCAGCAGCAGCAGTAGCAGCAGCAGCAGCAGCAGAAGCAGCAGCAGAAGCAACAGCCGGAGCAGCAGCAGCAACAACAACAACAACAGCAACAGCAACAACAGCAGCAGCAGCAGCAGCAAGACATGGGAGCCGCACAGCTTACGCCTACCAGCAGCAGCAGCACTAAAGCTAAAAGAAAAAGGTACAGCAATAACAGATAAACAAGTGCAGCAATTAAGAAGAGAGAAGAAGAGGCAGCAACTACATAGAGATAATGTTGCACTGCAGCAGCAGCAGCAGCAAGTAGCAGCAAAATTTTCTTCTTATATGGATATAGCAGAGAGGGATGCAGTTGTCTATACACCTAATAAAATTAAACAAATAATTAAAATTATTATTTATTTCCTTACTAATGGAGGAAAACTACCAGAGGAAGGATACTTTGATGATACATAAGCTGCAGCAGCAGCAGCAGCAGCAGCAGCAGCAGATGCAGCAGATGCTGCAGCAGCAGCAGCAGTATAAGATATGCTGCAAGAGGTTCAGCAGTATTTATTTACTTCCTTACTAATGGAGGGAAACTACCAGAGGAGGGTTAGTTTGATGATACATAAGCAGCAGCAAGTGCAGCAGCATTAGCTGCTGCTGCTGCTGCTGCTGCTGCTGCTGCAGCAAGTGCAGCAGCAGTAACAAATGTTTAAGTGGGGCAGGTGCAGCAGGAGATTTAAGACTTTTATTTACTTATTTACTAATGGAGGGAAACTAACAGAGGAGGGATACTTGGCGATACATACGTGCAGCAGCAGCAACAGATGCTGCTGCAGCAGATGCTGCAGTATCTGCTGCTGCTGCTGCTGCAGCAGCAGTTTAAGTATAGGAGATACTGCAGGAGGTGCAGCACTATTTATGTACTTCCTTACTAATGGAGGGAAATTACCTGAGGAGGGATACTTTGATGATACATATGCTGCTGCTGCTGCTGCTGCTGCAGCAGCAGCAGCAGCAAGTGCAGCAGCAGCAGCAGATGTAGATGTTTAAGTATAGGTGGTGCTGCAGGAGGTGCAGCGGTATTTATTTACTTCCTTACTAATGGAGGCAAAGAAGGATACATTGATGATACTTAATTTGCTGCTGCTGCTGCTGCAGCAACAGCAGCAGCAACAGCAGCAGAAGCAGCAGATGCTGCAGTAATAGGAGATATTTAAGCTTAGTAGATGCAGCAGAAGATGCGGCACTTTTTATTTACTTCCTTACTAAGGGAGGGAAGCTAATTTATCTGCTGCTGCTGCTGTTCCTGCAGCAGCAAATGCAGCAGCAGCAGCAGCAGCAAATGCAGCAGCAAATGCAGCATATATTTATTTGCGCTAATGGAGGAAAACTGCCAAAAGAAGGATACCTTGACGATACTTAGATCTGCTGCTGCTGCTGCTGCAGCAGCAGCAGCAGCAGCAGCAAATGTAGCAGCAAATGTTCAAGTAGATGTAGTCGCAGTTATTTGCTTTCTTATTCATGGAGGGAGACTACCATAAGAAGGATATTTTTTTATGGTAGTTGGGACTGCTGCAGCAGCTGCTGCTGCTGCTGCACCAGCAGCAGCAGCAACAGCAGCAGCAGGAGTAGCAGCAGCAGCAGCAGCAGCAGATGTGGCAGTAGAAAATGCAGCAGCAGATGCGGCAGCAATTATTTGCTTCCTTAGTATTGAGGGGAAACTACTTGCTGAAGGATATACTTAGATATACATCTGCTGCTGCTGCTGCTGCAGCAGCAGAAGATGCAGCAGCAGCAGCAGAAGATGCATGCGATGCAGCAGTAGATGCAGCAGCAGATGCAGCAGTAGCTAGATGTGCTGCAGTAGTGTCTGGCCCTTCTGCCCCAAGACGGCAACACGAATAAGTTGCTGCTGTTGCTGCTGCAGCAAGAGCAGCAGATGTACAGCAGCCACCACTCTGCAGAAATGCAGCAGCATCTGCTGCTGCTGCTGCAGCTGCTGCTGCTGCTGCTGCAGAGTGGATTGGCAGCAAGTTAGAGGCCCCACGCAGTATTGTGAGATTACTGTAGGCAGCAGCAGCAAAAGCTGCTGCTGCAGTGCTGTAGTGGTGTTTTATTTGCTGCTGCTGCTGCTGCTGCTGCTGCAGTGCTGATTTGGTTGTTGCTGCTGCTGCTGCTAAAAAGAGCAGCAGGAACGAGGCAGCAACAAGCTCCCTAAACCCTAATATTTCTAAACCCTAGATAGGCATCTCTCTGTCGTCTCGTAAACCCTAAACCCTAAACCCTAATATGCCTAAACCCTAGAGACACCATATAAACCCTAAACCCTAATATGCGTAAACCCTAGACAGACGCCATATAAGCCCTAAACCCTAACTCCTAGTACTAGTAATAAACCCTTGATAGACATCTATCTATGATAAACCCTAAACCCTAATATGTATCTATGGCATTATAAACCCTAAACCCTAAACCCTAATATTTAATATGTATCGCCTTATAAACCCTAAACCCTAAACCCTCATATGTTGAATTGTTGTAAATGCAGCAACCCCTCAAGAGGCCCAGTTACACAGAGCCCTAGGGCGTCTGCTGCTGCTGTTGCTGCTGTTCTTGCTGCTGCTGTTGCTGTTGCTGCTGCTGCTGCTGCTGCTGCTAGACAACAGCTCTGGGTATACCAGCAGCAGCAGCAGCAGCAGCACAGCTAAAGCTGCTGCGGCGGGATATTGCTGCAGAGGGGGAGTATGCGCTGTAGCTGCGGGGTGTACATACACCAGAGAGGGACTGCAGCAAGAGTTGCTGCTGCTGCTGTTGTTGCTGCTGCTGCAATTGTTGTTGCATCCCTCTCCATCGTCTTCTTTCTGCTGCTGCTGCTGCTGCGCTCAGCCGCGAACTCGCTGCTGCTAACGCATGCAGCAGCAGCTGCTGCTGCGGCGTGCTGCGGTGTATGTACACCTCAAGCAGCAAATTCAAATATAACAAACGTAAACCATACAAACCACCAGCAGGAAGCTCCCGTGCACTATGCCCCCTGCAGCACAGCAGCAGCAGCAGCAGCAGCAGCAACATTAGCAGCAGCAGCAGCAGAAGGGGTTGTTGCAGTTGTAGTAGTAGAGGCACAGAAATAGTAACAGCAGCAGAGTACACAGAAAAAACAGCAACAGGTAATCCAGCAGCAGCAACAACAACAGCAAGACAGCAGCAGCAACAGCAGGTAACACTGCAGCAGCAGCAACAACAACAGCAACAGCAACAGCAGCAGCAGCAGCAGCAGCAGCAGTGTTGTGGTTTACGTGAAGAATCCCTCAATAGTAAACAGCAGAACGATGCCGATCCCATCCCCCGTAAATTGCTGCTGCTGCTGCTGCTCCTGCTGCCGCTGCAGCCGCTGCAGCTGCTGCAGTCTCCTCTTCCCTTCCTCTGCTAGGCGCTGCAGCTCCCTGCTGCATGCTGCTGCTGCTGCTGCAGGAGCATCGGAATCCTCAGCAGGAGCAGCAGAAGATTCGCTTTGTTGCTGCTCTTGCTGCTGTTGCTGCTGCAGCTCTTGCTGCTGTTGCTGCTCTTCCTGCTGCTGCTGCTGCTCAGCAGCAGCATCTTCAGCACTAGGCAGCGGCAGCAGCACCGTCATCCGCAGCTGCAGCTCCCACTGGTTGCTCGCTTCGATGGACTGCAGCAGCAGCAACAACAGCAGCAGCAGCCCCATAGAGCGAAGCCCAGCAACAGCAGCAAGCAGCAGCAGCAAACAGCAGCAACAGCAACTGTGGCGCAGCGGAGAACAGCATACTCCCGCGGTAGCAGTAGTAATAGTAGAGGACACAGCAGCAGCAACAGCAGCAGCAACAGCAGCAGCAGCCTACCCCTAAAGAAGCAAGGCCCCTTCTCGATCTTAGCAGCAAGGCAAGAGTATCCGCCAGCTGCTGCTGCTGCTGCTGCTGCTGCCGCTGCATGAAGGCTCCTAGACAATCTACCACGGTGTATGTACACCGTATTATCGGCTGCCCTTCGCTGCTGCTGCTGCTGCTGTTAAGCTGCTGGGTAAGAGAGAAGACAATGAGGAAGCTGCAAGCACAGCAGCAGCAGCAACTCTGACCAATTGTATTAGTAGGGTTTAGGGTTTGAGGTCTAGGGTTTAGGGTTTAGGACCCTAGGGTTTAGGGTTCCTAGGGTTTAGGGTTTGAGGGATTAGGGTTTAGGGTTTGAGTAAATCAAACAAACCCTCGAGGGTTTGTCTAGGGTTTAGGGTTTAGGGTTTCTGCTTACGCTACTCCCTCTCCATAGACCGGGGCAAGCAGCGTTGCTTCCTGCTGCTGCAGCTGCTGTTGTTGCTGCTGTTGCTGCATTTGCTGCTGTTGCTGCTGCTGTTGCCTCTTTTGCATCCGGTTAATAAGCCTCTGGAAATGCGTCTCCTGCAGCAGCAGCAGCAGCAGCAGAAGCAGCAGCAGCAGCAGCAGAAGCAGCAGCAGCAAAAGAATTTTACGCCTGAGTTAGCGTCTATTATATATTGGATAAAACTTTGCAGTCCCTAGGATTTGCTAGCTTATTAGGGTTTAGGGTTTAGGGTTTAGGGTTTAGGGTTTGGGTCGTACGAGGTCTCTAGCCTTCAGCAGCAAATCTCCTTGGCTGCTGCACAGCCGCTGCAGCTCAGCAGCATTCATCTGCAGCGCCTCTAAGCAGTAGACAATTGACCCCTGCAGCAGCAGCAGCAGCAGCAGCAACAGCAACAGCAACAGCAACAGCAGCATTAGGAACAGGAGGAACAGCAGCAGCAGCAGAGGCAGGGACAGTTGGAACAACAGCAAAAAGAACAGCAGCAGCAGCAGCAGCAGAAGGCACAGCAGCAGAATCCACGGGAGCCTACTCTTTGAGGTGCAGCAGCTGCTGTTGCTGCTGTTGCTGCTGTTGCTGCTGCAGCAGATGTCTGCAGCTCGAGGGCATTAAACGTTGCAATAAGAGAGTTCACAGCCTGCAGCACAAGCAGCAGCAGCAGCAGGAACAGCATCAGAAGCAGCAACAGCAACAGCAGCAGCGCATGCAGCAGCAGCAGCAGCAAACCAAGAAACCACTGATAGAGCAGCAGCTGCTGCTCCCCATCTGCTGTTGCTGCACACCCAACAGGCCTTAAGTACAACACCCGTACTCCAGCAGCAGCACCAACAGCAACAGCACAAGTTGCTGCTGCTGCTGCTGCTACAGCAGCAGCAGCAGCAGCAGCAGCAGCAGCGTTGTGTAGACTTACACCAGGCGTTGGCGACTCTCCAGGCAGCAAGGAGAGCATCGCATGCAGCAGCTCAGGATACATACGAAGGCCATACAAATCAGGTGCCTCTGCTGCTGCTGCTGCTGCTGCTGCTGCTGTTGCTGCTGCTGCTCTTGGGACCGTCGTCTGTCCTCCTCCTCCTCCTCCTGCTGCTGCTGCGTCAGTAGCAGCAGAAGGGACAAGAGCAGCAACAGCTTCCTCAGGGAAGCCTAAGAGGTCTTGCCAACAAATACTTCGGCCTGTTGCTGCTACCTCATTTGCTGCTGCGGCTGCTGTTGCTGCTGCTGCTCGTGCTGCTGTTGCTGCTGCTGCAGCTTCGGTTGCATCCGACGGGGAATCCACTGGATCGCCATCCTTTGCTGCTGCACCAGTTGCAGCAGCTGCTGCTGCTGCTTCTGCTGCTGCTGCTGCATCACCGCAAGACTCGCCTTGGCTATCCACCTTGGCGCTGGTGCTGCTAATGTTGCTGCTGCTGCTGCTGCTGTTGCTGCTGGTCTTGTCACTGCTGCCTATGCTGCTGCTGCCGCCAGTGCTGCGCGTACTGGGGCTGCTGCATGCGCTCAAACGGCGTTGCTCTGATCCTACTGTCTCCCTCTGCTGCTGCTGCTGCTGCTGTTGCTGCTGCTGCTGTTCATTGGCAGTAGCAGAATCATGTGGTGCTGCTGCTGCTGCTGCTTCCGTAGCTGCTGCTGCTGCTGCTGTAGCGTTAGCCTGCTGCAGCAGCACCCGCACCGCGCTATCTACAGCCTCTTGCTGCTCCTCCACTTGCTGCAGCAGCAGTAGCAGCTCACCCCCGTATTCCCGCTGCATCAGCTGCTGCTGCAGCCGCTGCTGTTGCTGCTGGTGGTGCTGCTGCTCATCCATAGGGCAGGAGTCCTGCAGCAGTAACAGTTGATTTGCTGCTGCAACAGCAGCAGCAACCGCTGCGTCCTGCTGCAGCAGCAGTGGCGCATGCATAGATAAAAAGCGGCCACCAAGCTGGGTAGTTAAATGCTGCTCCTGCTGCTGCTGCTGCTCCTGCTGCTGCTGCTGCGTCTGCTGCTCCTGTGTAGAGTCCGCTCCACTGGTGTCCCCTTGTGACCCCTGCTGCTGTTGCTGCTGCTGTTGCTGCTGCTGCTGCTTGCGCTGCTGCTTGCGTGCATAATTCTCCCGCAGCAGCAGCAGCTCCTCCTTCGTCGCTAGTGCAGCAGCAAGTTGCTGCAGCGACGAACGAGCCCTAGCAAGAGAGAAGCCCTGCCTACTGTACCGGCACCGTAGCTGCTGCTGCTGCAGCAGGAACTCCTGCTGCTGCTGCTGCTGCTGCTGCTGCATTAGGTGTCCTTGAGACATACCACCCATGACGTCTGCTGCCGCAGCAGGAGCTGCTGCTGCTGTTGCTGCAGCAGAAGGTTGCTGCCACGGGGGATGTGCTAGGACCGCTCCTTCTCGTAGTCCTTGCCATATCTGCTGCTGCTGCTCCTGCTGCTGTTGCTGCTGCTGTGCAAAAGCAGCAACAGCAGCTGCTGCTGTAGCAGCAGCAGCAGGGTCCGTGCGGCTCATCTTCCTCCTTGGCGGCTGCTGCACCTCAAGGTAACGCTTAAGGGAGCATACAGAGGGAGTACGAGAAGCAGCAGCAACAGGAGTGTGCCGCAGCAGCTGCCGCGCTAATTGCCTACCAAAGCCTAGCAAAGATTGACCAGCAGCAGAAGCACGAGTAAGGAGACCCCCTGATCCTTGCTGCTGCTGCTGCTGCTGCTGCTGCTGTTGCTGCTGTTGCTGCTGTTGCTGCTGTTGCTGCTGATACAGCTGCTGTTGCTGTTCTTGTGCTTCTAGACGGGAAGGGAACAATTGCTGCTGCATTTGCTGCTCCTGCTGCCGACGGTGCCACTCTGACTGGTGCTGCTGCTGCTGCTGCATTTGCTGCTGCTGCTGCTCATGCTGCTGTCTTCTTCTGTCTATGCAAGAAGAAGCCACAGAACCAGCACCCTGTGGGGCCGAGCGGCAGCTGCTGCTGCAGCTGCGGCGGCGGTATGCTGCTGCTTGCTGCAGCAGCAGCTGCTGCTCCGATACAACTCGTTGTGAGAAGTCTGCTGCTGCTGCTGCTGCTGCTGCTGTAGCGGACAGGTGTGTCTCGCTGTGTCCTGCTGCTGGCGGCTCATTGCGCAGCAGCAGATGCGGCACACGGTGCAGCCCTTGCTGCTGTTGCTGTTGCTGCTGCTGCTGCTGCAGCAACGTATGCAGCGAAGGGGCTACAGCTGTAACATCGGAGGCTGCTGCTGCACTAGCGAGAAGACGTGTCATAGGGCATCGCACATCCTGCTGCTGCAAGACGTGCTGCTGCTGCTGCTGCAGCAGTTGCTGCTGCGGCTGTTGCGATCTTCCCCTACGTTGTGCTGCTGCAGCCGAGAAGGACCTGGGGTGTATAGGCAGCTGCGGCTGCAGCTGCCCTGCGCAAATTCCCGATGTGGGGCGCAGCTGCTGCTGCGCTGCTGCTGCTGCTGCTGCAGCAGCAGGACCCCCTGAAGCAGAAGAAAACAGCGGTGCAGCATAGGCTGGGTTAGTGCTGCTGCTGCTGCTGCTGCTGCTGCTGCGGATCCATGGCACCTCCAAGGAAGGCCTGACGCCCCCCGTAAAGGCAGAAGCAGACAGCACCCCGTGAGCAGAGCCCAAGCTGCTGCTGCTGCTGCTGCTAAGCAGGCGAGGCTGCAAAAAGCTGTGGCCTGCTGCTCCTGCTGCCGCTGCTGCTGCTGCTGCTGCACTTACGTGAGGTGAAGCAGTAGCTGCTGCTGCTGCAGGTAATGGATTCACTAGTGGGGTACGCCCATGCAGCATTTGCTGCTGCTGCTGCAGCTGCATGTGCTGCTGCTGAGGTCGTTGTAGCCATTCCTGTTGCTGCTGCTGCGGCTGCTGATTTAGCAGCAGCTGCTGCTGCAATGGTTGCTGCAGTTGCTGCTGAGCAAAAGGGCGCAAGGGGCGTTGCTGCCGCAGCGTCCTTTGTGGTAGGTCCTCATCCATTTCTGCTGCTTCTTTTGCTGCTGCTGCTGATTCGGCTGCTGCTGCTCCTCCTGCTGCTATTTTGGCTGCTGCCGATGCTGCTGCAGCCGCCGCAGCAGGGTGCTGCAGTCTCTGCTGCAGCCCCGTCAGCTGCTGCTGCCGCAGCTGCTCCCCGATCTAGTGGGGTCGTTATAGTGGGGCTCTTGAACCGACCCTGCCACTCCTGTTGCTGCTGCTATGCATGCATGCATGCATGCATGCATGCAGACGACGACTTGCGGTGTATGTACACCTCAACCTGCAGCAGCCCTTTGCTTGTTTTGTGCTCTCATGAGCAGAGACAGAGAGGTGGAGGCCCCTAGAGGGTTAGCAGCAATTGCTGCTGCTGCTGCTGCTGTTGTTGCTGCTACTCATGCAGACGACGGAGGAACGCATGCGCTGCAGCAGCAGCAGCTGCTGCTGCTGCTGCAGCTGTTGGGGGGTTGCTGAGTAGCCAATAGCACGATGGCTGCTGCCACCACAGCAGCAATACTAAAAACTTTACTTGTTTTGCTGCTGGCAGCAGGACATTAGGAAAAAAGGCGGGAACAGCAGCAGCGGGGGATGCTGCTGTTGCTGCATGCAGGAGCAGCTGCAGGAGCAGCAGCCGCGGCGGCAGCAGCAGCAGCAGCAGCCTACCAAAGCCCCAACATACTCATCTGGATTAATTATAGATTTTCTATTACATTTATTGTTAAATTTAGTACTTAATTACCCTTGATTCTGCTGCTGCTGCTGTTGCTGCTGCTGCTGCAGCTGTTGTCGTTGTTACTGCTGCTGCTGCACACTGGCCATAGGAACGACGACCCCACCGCCACACCAGTGTGTTTCTGGGGATCGGCTCCAACACTTGCTGCTGCTGCTGCTACTGCTGCTGTTGTTCTTGCTTCTACTGCTGCTTCTGTCGTTGCTGCTGCTTCTGCTGCTGCAGCACACAGCAGTGACCGCCAAATGGGGCGCTGTGTGGTGTAGTTACTGCAACTCAGTGTTCGCAGCAGCGGCTGCCGCAGCAGCTGCTGCAGCAGCCGCTGCAGGAGCAACAGCTTGCTGCTGCAGCAACAACCTGTTCATGCTCCAGCTGCTGCTGCAACCTGCTGCACTTGCTGCAGCAGCCTTCTACAGTTGCTGCCTGTTGAGTACAGACATTGTCACAGATGTGCTGCTGCGCATGCAAGTGTCTCTAGTAACAAAGAGACAGCTAGCTAGCTAGCTAGCTGCTGGGTAGATAAGGAAGCTAGCTAGATAACAAGGCCCGGGGAGGCAGTAGACAAGTAGGGTTTAGGGTTTAGGGTTTAGAGGGTTTAGAGTTCGGAGGGTTTAGGGCCTATAGAGGGTCTGCTGCCTTCAAATTCGGAGCTGCTGCTGCTGCTGCTGCTGCTGCTGCTGCTGCTGCAAGAGGCACAAATAACAATTAAAAGACAGCAGCGACTGCGTTGCTGCCTGCTGCTGCAGCAGCAAAAGCAGCAAAAGCAGCAGCAGAACAAACCAAAGCATAGAGAGGACCAGCTAGCTACCTCCTTAGCTACCTAGCTAGTCCTTTAGCCAGCTAGCCAGCTCCCTATCTAGCTAGATACCTAGCTAGCTAGCTCCCTATCTAGCTAGCTACCTAGCAAGCTAGCTATTTAGCTAGCTAGCTAGGTACCCAGCTCCTCCTCCTCTACCACCACCAGCTAGCCAACTAACTAACTAACACGGCCAGCTATCCAGATAGCTAGCTAGCTATCCAGCTAGCTAGCTAGCTAGCTAGCTAATTATCTAGCTCGTCTAGTAGACCTTCAAGACCATCAGCAGCAGCAAATGGCGATCCACCAAAGGATCTCTTCTTTATCTGTGTCTTTAATTCCT